CCTCTACCAGGCATCTCGTGATGTAGATACACGTTTCGGAGTCAATAAAGAGATAAATGCTTCATCTACTAAAGCTTGGCTTGAGAAGATGAAAACTCTGTTTATTAGAAAGGGATCTGGATTTTCTTCTCGTAGTGTGATAACTGGCGATTCCTTCAAAGGCGTGTCTGAGATTGGGTTGCCATTCGAAATAGCCCAAAAAATAACCTTCGAGGAGAGAGTAAACCAGCACAACATGGAATACCTTCAAAGACTGGTTGATGAAAAGCTTTGTTTAACTTATAGGGATGGCCAGTCCACATATTCATTGAGGGAAGGATCAAAGGGACATACATTTTTGAAACCTGGGCAGATAGTGCACCGTAGGATAATGGATGGAGATATAGTGTTTATCAACAGACCACCAACTACGCACAAGCATTCCCTCCAAGCTCTGTCAGTCTATATTCATGATGATCATACTGTGAAGATCAATCCCCTTATTTGCGGTCCACTTAGTGCTGACTTTGATGGGGATTGCATCCATTTATTTTACCCTCAGTCTCTTGAAGCAAAAGCAGAAGTGGTAGAGCTTTTCTCCGTAGAGAAACAGCTGCTTAGCTCTCACACTGGCAATTTCAACCTGCAACTGGGAACTGATTCACTTCTGTCTCTGAAACTCCTTGTTCAAAACTACTACTTGAACAGAGCAGCGGCACAACAGTTGGCGATGTTCGCCTCCAATTCTTTACCTGGACCTGCAGTGCTGAAATCTTGTAAAGCTGGCCCTCTTTGGACTTCTGCACAGATTTTGCAGATCACTTTACCTTGTAACTTTGACTGTTCTGGGGAGAGACATTCTATATTTAAAAGTGAGGTATTGAGAGTTGAGTCAAATAGGGATGTGATGCAGTCCATTGTTAACGACATAGTCACATCAATTTTCTTTTTGAAAGGGCCTAAGGAGGTTTTGAGGTTCTTCAACACTCTACAACCCCAGTTAATGGAAAATCTCTACTCAGAAGGGTTTAGTGTTAGTTTAAGAGATCTTTTCATACCTGGGGACATATTAAAGAACATCCAAGCAGATATTCAGAAGATTTCTCCATTGCTACATCATTTGCGTGCATGTTATAGTGAATCTATTGTGTTGCAGTTGGAGAATTACTTGCGAAGTATGAAAATACC